AACATATGGGCTAATGTTGGACTTGTGGGCTTGGGCAGCACTGGGTTGGGATGTTTTCTTGACGTGCACGTCACCTTTATATAAAACTCTCTCATATACGTCTGAGTTTCTGTGGATTTGTTTCTCTAAAGTACCCACACTAACACAGTCACCTTCCACTGAGTTAGAGACAGACCCAGTTCCACAGGGTTAGAGACCACAGCACCTCCCAGGTGAGGCAGGAACCAGGCAGGGCAGGCGTTCAGGTCAGATGGGTGCACCGCAGGGAGCCTGTCCCCAGTGCCACTAGAGCGAGGTGGAGGAGAATGTGACAAATTGGCATGTATGCCCCTGTGTGTGTTCTCAGTACCAAAATCCATCACCGCAAAACAAGAAGAACCATGACTTATCAGGGTCCCTGTGGGGAAACTGAGGCCTGGCCCACAGCCACTTGCTCAAGGAGCACTGCAGGAGGACCCCCCCCCAGCACCCTAGAACAGTGTGGTGGCTGAGGAAGGGGTGGCTGAGGTTGAGCCCTCCATCCCTGCTTCCCTCCACCCCCCAGTGGCAGCTCTGAAAGGCTAAGGAAGGGCCCAGACTCCAGTGCGATTTGGAGGGGTGGGGGCTGTGGGGCAGGGCAGCAGCTGCAGTCAGGGGGGCGGGGCTGGGTGAGAGTTCAAATGACCAGCACTCTGAGCACTGCTGATGCCACTACCCAGGAGCCAGGAATTAAAAATAGTCCCTGCCCAAGGGCTTTGCATGGTACCTGCTTGTTGAGGCTGGGCAAGGGTCATGACCGCTGTTACTGTGGAGGGTGGGATGGCCAAGGATGAGGTGGGTTGGCCACAGGGGGTGGATGCAGGCAGCCTGGGGAGCCCTCCCAGACTCACACAAGGACCCAGGCCCTGCCCCCACCCCTGGAACTCCTGGCCCTTGTATCTGAGTCTCTCCTGCCTGGGCCAAGCCACTGCCTGATCCAGCTGGCCAGGCCCTGAATTAGTCATGTCCTGGGCAGGCTGCTGGCAAGATCTGCTTGGCCAGTGGAGTGGCCACTGACAGTGGGGCAGGGCAAGACAGGCAGTGACCACATCTGGGAGGCTTCCCATGGCTGCTCCTGAAGGCCAGTAGGGTCATCTGGAGACCACTGGACACACAGTCATAACACTAAGTAATAGCCCCAGATACCCAGGGCCACAGGTGGGGCCAGTACCCAAGCCCCAGGAGATGAATGTCTAGCCCAAGGCTACACAATAGGGCAGTGGGCAGAGTTTGGAGTGGACAATTAGGGGACCTGAGCTGAACAGTGACACTTCTGCACACAAGCAGGGCTCCCAGTGTGGCCATCAGGCTGGGCTCCTTAGCAGCCCCAGGTGACTGGCCCGCTGAGTCACTGGTCCTGAGACAGTTCTAATTCTGTCACTAGACTAGACAAGTGGTAGGCCTAGGGGATCCAGGATAAGGGGGAGCCATAAAAGGGTCCCATCCTGCTCTCAGTCAAAGGGCTGGAGTCTGAGTGGTACTGAGCATAAAAGTTTGTCGGACTAAGATCAGTCCCCTAGCTCCCTGCCCCATGGCGTTCAGCGTCAAGAGTGGGCACCGTAGGGGCGGGGTGGGAAGCAAGGCCTGCCCCCACAGCCCTCTCCCACCAAGCTGTTTGGAGAGACACTGCACCCACTCTCTGGCTGGCTGGGGTTTCACAGCCTCAGGAAAGAGGACCCAGCTAAAATTAACGTGATCAAGCCGACAGACTGGAAATAAACGGCTTTCCATTGGCTGTCGGTGACGTCACGGCCGTGACGAGCGACCAGTGAGGTCCTCGGGCTCCAGCAGGGCGGGGCGCGCCTGCGAGCACCGGCCCAGGTTCCTAAGGGTCGCCCTCGCTCAGGCGCTCTGCCGGGGTGGGGGAGCCTTTTCTGGCCGACCAGGTCGGGGGTACCCCGGGAGCAAAGGGAACACCCCTGGAGGGGGCAAATTAAATGCTCTCCGTGGCAACAGGCAAGCTCAGTGCAGGGAGGAGGGGCGTTGCCCTAGAAAAGCAAGATTAAGTGTCCCAAACCAGAGATGAGGGGCAGGGTGGAGGGGCGGACCAGGGCCCTGGGGTCCATATTAGGGTGGTATATCGCCCTCACGGTCCCTGACACAGGGCTGGGTGCAGGTTGCTTCGGGAGTTCCCGCACCTGCAGCAGCAGGGCGTCAGGGAGCCGTTGCTATGGAGACAGGCAGCTCCCTTGGGCGTCTGTGGAGCCCTGGGGACCAAGTCTCGGGAACCGGCTTGGTAGGCCTAGCCCAGGGGTCTGCCCACCTGGCTAACGGCAGAGCTACCCTGGCTCCAGGCTGAAAGGGCGAGGGGTCCCAGAAGCGGGGGCCCCCCAGAGGCAGGGCTCTGGTCTTCCTTGGCCCCGCCCACCGCACCCCACCTCCTGTTCCCTGAGGCTCCAGGGGCGGGATCTCCAGGTTGAGAAATTGCCCTGGGGCTGACAGCTCCTTAGCAACTCAGCCCTCTGGGCCTTCACCCCTGCTCTCCTTGTTAGCAGCCTGATCAGTCTGTTCCTACTCAGGGAGACCCTGTCAAAAGGAAACACGCCAGGTGCTGAGCCTGGTGCTGAGCGGTTCTCACGATCTTCCCTGAGTATGAGCCGTCTCGCAGCCACTGTGTCCATCCATCCTGCTGGAGGCTCTCCTCCTTTTCCCTGCCTCCGTACCTTACCAAACATGAACGTGCCCCACGTGCAGGAGAGAAGTC